GGGATGGGGTACCATGGGGGTACAAGGGGATGCAGAGGGTGTGATGCCCTCTGGGAATTTTAGGGATGCAGGTGGGTGTGGTACTCTGGGGGTACAATGGGATGCAGATAATGGGGTGCCCTGGGGGAAATTTAGGGATGCAGGGGGATGCAGAGGGTGTGAGCCTTCCCTTCTCCAATGAACCCTCCCAGCCTGGCTCCATCCCACGTGGAATCATTTAGGTTGGGAATGGGAAGAGGTGCCACGTGGCCCTTGGAGCAGGGATCGGCTCTGCCAGGGTTCTCTCCCCCCGCTATTAACTGGCTTCAAATTAGCTCGCTCTGGTAATTAGCCCTTGCTCTGGGCACAGCCCGAGTCATCCAGACATTTAAAAAAAAAAAAAAGGGGGAAAAAAAAAAAAAGCCTGGAAAAGTGTTGCCGCGCGCGCGGCTTCGGCGTCTCCATGGCAACGGGAGAGCGCGGCCAAGGACGCGAGACATTCCCGGGAAAAACGGGACGTGATGGTGCCAAGGGAGACCGCGGGGCTCGTCCTCCCTCGGGGCAGAGCCGCATCCCAACCCTCGGGATGAGAGACGGAGGGAGAGAGCCCATGGAAGGGAAGGGAGACACGGATCCAGCCGCCGGATTCCCGTTTTCCAGGGAAACCGGAGCTCCGGGGAGGGGGGGTTTGGATCTCGCATCTTTTCCCAGAGCAAATTCCCGGCGTGGTGTGGGGGGGAAGGATTCCATCCAAATCCCGGCGGGTTTTCAGTGGAAAACACCCCCCCTGCATCCCTAAAATTCCCAGAGGGTATCACATCCCCTGCATCCCTAAAATTCCCAGAGNGTATCACATCCCCTGCATCCCTAAAATTCCCAGAGGGTATCACATCCCCTGCATCCCCAGGGCACCACATTCCCTGTATCCCTAAATTTCCCCCACATCCCCTGCATCCCTAAAATTCCCCCAGGGTATCCCATCCCCTGCATCCCTAAATTTTCAGGAAAACGCTTCCCTGAAGTTAAAAAACGGGGGATGTTTTTGGAAGTTGTTCCTTTCCCCTGTTCCAAACGGATGGAAATCCCATCAAACAGCTCCAATCAGCAGCAGAAGGGAAAGGAATTCCAGCCGGTTTGGAGCATCCCAGGGAAAAGCAGGATTGACATCAAGGACAAAATAAAATCCAGGGATTCCTCTCCCTTCCTCTGCCCAGGGTTGTTTGGAAAACCAGAAATGACTCGGAAGTGGCTCGGCTTTGAAGGGATAATGGGAATGTGCTGGATCCTGCCTCCCTGGGGCATTCCCAGCCTCTTCCAGGGGCGTCCCTGGGAGCTTTCCCAAAGCTTTTTGTGTCCTGCTGCTGTGGGACCGAGGTTTGAGGTGTGTTCCAGGTGGGAATCCTGTTCCTCTGGAGCGGGAATGCCGTGTCAGGATGCTCCTCCTTTGGCCTCCCCACCCTTTGGATGTGGGGTTGGGAAGAGCAGAGTGCTTTTCCCTCTGGGAAGCTGGTTTTTTAAGGATGCTTTCCCTGTCTTCCGGGTGATTCCGCAGTTTCAGGGGCTCCAAGGGGAGCAGGAGCACCTTCCAAACCTTGGAATTCCCAGAGCTTGGCTACGTGGCTGTGAGGCACCATCCCAACCATCCCTAAAGCTTCACTTGGTGGGATCAGGGAATCATGGAATGGTTTGGGTTGGGAGGGGCCTTAAAGCTCATCCAGGTCCATCCCCTGCCATGGGACACCTCCCACTATCCCAGGTTGCTCCAACCTGGCCTTGGACACTTCCAGGGATGGGGCAGCCACAGCTTCTCTGGGAAATCCATCCCAGTCCCTCCTCATTCTCCCAGGGAGGAATTCCTTCCCAATATCCCATCTAACCCTCCCTCTGGCAGTGGGAAGCCATTCCCTGTGTCCTGTCCCTCCATCCCTTGTTCCAAGTCCCTCTCCAGCTCTCCTGGAGCCCCTTTAGGCCCTGGAAGGGGTTTAAGGAATCCTTGGAATCTTTTCTTCTCCAACCTGGCCTTGGACACTTCCAGGGATGGGGCAGCCACAGCTTCTCTGGGAATTCCATCCCAGCCCCTCCCCACCCTCACAGGGAGGAATTCCTTCCCAATATCCCACCTAAATTCCCCCTCTTTCACTCTGAAGCCATTCCCTGTGTCCTGTCCCTCCAGCCCTCATCCCAAATCCCTCTCCAGCTCTCCTGGAGCCCCTTTAGACCCTGGAGGGGGCTCTCAGGTCTCCCTGGAATCTTCTCTTCTCCAACCTGGCCTTGGACACTCCCAGGGATGGAGCAGCCACAGCTTCCCTGTGCCAGGAAGAGCCTCTCAAGGTGGAATTTCCTCCCTGTGCTTTCTGGGAAAACGTGGGTGGGCGTGTGTGGGGGGGAGAAAAACGTTCTTAAAGCATTTGCCCTAATTAAGCTTTTTTTTTTAAATATATATATTTGGAGGGACAGTCAGAGCCAGAAGAATCCACACATTCCCAATAACTCATCCCTCCAACGAGCCTGACTAAGCCCCAGGGAGAGCTCCCAGTGCTTGGAGCTCATCTAAAAAAGGAGGAAAATCATCCTGGAGTCATTCCCTGCCCCCAAAAAAAACATCTCAGGGGGTTTGGTTGATGATTTGAGCACCTGGAGGGGCAGCTGCTGCTCCGTGGAGCTGGAGCTGGAAACCAGCTCATCCAGAAAAACCCCTTCCCCCTCTAAGGAATCGTTCCTAAATGAGGGATTGGCACGGGAATTCCCTGGAGCTGGAGTTCCACAGGGAGAATTCCGCCTGCTGAGGGCTGGGAAGGAGCAATCCCCTCATTCCAGGAAGGCCAGGGAGGAGGAAATCCCTAAGGAATGACTTTGTGGGGCAGGAAGAGAGGAGCAAAGTGCATGGAGGGATCCCATCCCATTCCATCCCCATCCCATTCCATCCCCATCCCATTCCAGCCAAATTGGGCCAAAAACCGGGAAATGGCCAAAGAGGATCTTCAGGGAAAAGTTTGGGCTGTGAAGAGACTCAAAATGTTCAAATTCCAACAGAACAGCCCTGAGCACTTGGGGATAACAGGGGGGAAAGGTCCCTCCTTCCCAGTGGGAAATCTGATGGAATTTTGGCACGGTTTGGGTTGGGAGGGACCTTAAAGCTCCTCTCCTTCCACCCCAAAAACCTCAACCCCTTCCCCTGATTTCACTGCTCAGCCCCCCCCATTCCAGCCTCAAATCCCAAAGGATTTTGCCTCAGGCCCTTCTGTGCACATCCCACATTCCAGACTCCATTGAGTCACCAACTCCCCCTCCGGAGACCAAAACAGGGATGAGGAAAAAGAGGGAACCCCCCCGGGTTTAAAGGGAAAAACAGGTGGAGCCAGAGCTGGAAAACCCTTTTCTTCCCAGAGTTTGGAGGGGGGAAAACCAAGTCCCTGCATCCAGGTGGATCCCACGGTATCCAGGTGAATCCCACAGTATCCAGGTGGATCCCACAGTATCCAGGTGGATCCCACGGCATCCAGGGGATGAGGGGGAACAGGGAGACGCCTCCGGAATGTCAGAGCCGCTCCCGGAGCAGCTTCTGGCGCTGGAAAAGCGGTGAGTCACCATTCCCATGGCAACTCCGCTTCCCTTGGAGACATCCCGGGGTTGGGAGCCACCGGCGAGGACTGAGGAGTGCCCGGCACCTGGGAATCAGGGAATGGGAAAGGTGGGAACGAACCTCCGAGCCCACGGAGTCCAATCGTCCCCCAGCGCTGCCACGGCCACCCGTGTCCCCAGGGGCCACATCCACGGGTTTTTGGGGCACTTCCAGGGATGGGAACTCCACCCCTGCCCTGGGCAGCCCCTTCCAGAGCTTGACAACCCTTTCCACGAAGGAATTTTCCCTGATATCCATCCTGACCCTCCCCTGGCACAGCTTGGGGCCGTTCCCTCTCGTCCTGTCCCTTGTTCCCTGGGAGCAGAGCCCGAATTCCCCCGGCTCCAACCTCTTTCCAGGGAGTTGTGGAGAGGGAGAAGGTCCCCCCTGAGCCTCCTTTTCTCCAGGATGAGCCCCCCCAGCTCCCTCAGCTGCTCCAGCTCCATTCCCAGCTCCATTCCCTTCCTGGGATCCACAATCAGCTCCGAGTGCCCCAGGATCTCCCTCACTATTTTGGGATTTATCCAGGGGTGTAATCCCACGTCCAGGAAACCTTTGGACACTTCGAGGGCTGGGGCAGCCACAGCTTCTCTGGGAATTCCATCCCAGCCCCTCCCCACCCTCCCAGGGAGGAATTCCTTCCCAATATCCCATCTAACCCTCCCTCTGGCAGTGGGAAGCCATTCCCTGTGTCCTGTCCCTCCATCCCTTGTCCCAAATCCCTCTCCAGCTCTCCTGGAGCCCCTTTAGGCCCTGAAAGGGGTTTAAGGTCTCCTTGGAACCTTTTCTTCTCCAACCTGGCCTTGGACACTCCCAGGGCTGGGGCAGCCACAGCTTCTCTGGGAATTCCATTCCAGGGCCTCCCCACCCTCCCAGGGAACAATTCCTTCCCAATATCCCATCAAAGCCCATCCAGTTCCATCTCCTGCCATGGGCAGGGACACCTCCCACTATCCCAGGTTGGGATAGTGGGAATTGTCCCTGCCCATGGTGGGGGGGGGAAACAAGATGATCTTTAAGGTCCTTCCCGCCCAAATCATTCCATGATTCCCTGACAGGTCAAAGGATTTCTCAGGCACAGTCGGAAGGATTCGGGTCTGGAGTGGTTTCAAACCCCTTTGGGATGTCCCAAACCATCCTCCCCAAGGAATGTGCCTGAATCCAGCCCTTCCCAGAGCTGAGCTTTGGGCCCAGCTCCATCCAATTCCCCTCTTTGATCCCATGGAATAACAATTCCATGTCCCCTGAGCAGGAATCCACGAGCCAAGTGCCAGCCCTGGTGCTGAATCCCGGGATAACGACCCTCCCCCCTGGATCCTGGGCTCGGCTCAGCCTCTGCCCCTGGAATTTGGGTCATTAAATCCATCTCCTGGGGGATGTCAGTGGGAATTGGGGGTTGAAATTCTCGGGATAAACCTCAAATTGTGCATTCCCACCTGGATAGAGCAGCCAAGGCAGGTTTTCCTGCCGGGAACAGCCGAGCTGAGGGTTTAGAGGGAGGTGAAAGGAGGGAAGGTGGTCCATGGGATGCTCCAAAGGGAAGAGGAGAGCCCAGGAGCCACCAGCCCACGCCTGGGAAGCAGGACTGGAGCTCCCTGAATGCCCAAGGGTGTATTTGGAGCTGGATTCCCGGATCTTCCCCCATCTGGGAGTGAGGGCTCCACCAGTGAGTCCAGTTTTCCTGCTGGGATTCACCTCCTGGGAGACACGGAGAGCTCAGGTGAACCCCCCCCCTCCCAGATTTAGGTGTAGATCCGGATTCAGATCCCGGATTTTGGGTGGAGATGCTCCCTCAGGGACAGCTGGCACCGCTTCCCGGACCTGGCACGGATCCCTGCCCAAATCCATGGAAACCCTTCCATGCAGAGCTCCCTGAGGGTGCCCAGAGCTCCAGCTGTGTGTGGGCTGGCTCTGGGCAGACACTTCAGCAGCTCCTCTCCCTCCAGCAGATGCATCCCCGGATTTCACAGCTTGGGAAGAGCAGCAAAAACCAGCTGGAATCTTCGGGAGGGTGCCAGGGCCGAGCTGGGAAGTGCAAAACAACTTCCCGGCCTTTTAGCAGCTGCCTCACACATCCCTCTTGGAGCCCTTCCCATTCCTCTGACATTCCACCTGCTCCCTCACTTTCCCATTCCTCACTCCACCTGTTCCTCACCTTCCCATTCCTGACACTCCACTTGCTCCATCCTCACCTTCCCACTCCTGACACTCCATCTACTCCCTCCTCACCTCTCCCACTCCTCTGACCCTCCATCTCTTCCTCACCTTCCCATTCCTTACACTCCATTTGGTCCCTCACCTTCCCACTCCTGACATTCCACCTGTTCCCTCCTCTCTTTCCCATTCCTCTCACATTCCACCTGCTCCCTCTTCACTTTCCCACTCCTGACATTTCACCTGCTCCCTCTTCACCTTCCCATTCCTAACACTCCTCTTGCTCCCTCACCTTCCCAATCCTGACATTCCATCTCCTTCTCACCTTCCCACTCCTGACACTCCATCTGCTCCTCCTCACCTTCCCACTCCTCTGCCATTCCACCTGTTCCCTCTTCATCTTCCCATTCCTGACATTCTTCCTGCTCCCTCACTTTCCCACTCCTGACATTCCACCTGCTCCTTCTCACCTTCCCATTCCTCTGACCACCTTCCCA